TTTTAAAAAAATTTTTAATAAAACTTAAAATAGTTTTAATAAAAATTATTCTTTATATTTAATAATTTTTAAATATGGGATTTTTTAAAAAATTATTTAATAAAAAAAATTGAGTGCCAGTTTTTTTGTCCCAAACTGTATATCAATATTAAATTTATAGTTTATAAATAAAATTATTAAAATTAGAATTAATAATATAGTTATAATATAATTTTTGATCTTATAATATTATTAAACACAAATTTAAATAAAAATGGAAAATCAATGTTATTAAATAATAAATTTCAATAAAAATTTCAAAACGAAATTCATTAAAAAAAAATCAATTTAATAAAAAAATTCATAATTTAACTATGTAAAACTTATTCTTTAAAATAATCAAATCAATATTATGTTTTATAATTATTTATTAATAAAAAAATAAGATTTGTTACTTTTTTTAAGAGTTTATTGATTTTGCATATGAATAAATTTGATTTGAAAGCCTTTTATTGTTATTAAATTAATATGTTTAGGAGATTAAAAATGAGTTAAGTAATTTTAAAATTAATTTGAAATAATAATAATTTTTAATTGAATTATTTAAATTTATTTTAATTGTAATTGTAATTGGCTTAAATTATAAATCTAGAAATTCAAATTAATTTAAGCTATACATTTAATAAAAATTATTTGCCATTGATTTAGTTTTCAAATCTCTCAAAAATAATTATAATTGCATTAATTGTTTTAAGAATTTAATTTTTTTCTTTATAAATGAGCCTACTGGAATTTTCTTTATAAAAGATATCCATAAGTCAAAAAATATATATTAACTCAATGGAAAGATTGCTATTCAAGAAGAATGTAAAAAAATACAAAAAAAAAACAGTAAAAAATTATATTCGATCAATGCTTCAAAAAATATACATGGTAATAAATAAATAAATGCATGTATTGGATTAAAAATACAAAAAAAAAAATACTTTTCACTTATTTTTTTGCCTTATACAGTCCTATACAATAAATTATTAAAAATCAAATTTATAAAATATGTACATTAGTATTTTTTTTTGGTTTTCTTATCCATTATAAATAAAAAACATGATGATCACAACAAATAAAAATGTTTTATTATTTTTTTCTTATCAATATGTATTAAAATAAATTGACAATCGAGCAACATAAATGAATTATTGATGCATTTCTTGATGGTATGACATTATAAAAAATTTCAGACAAACTGGGTATTCTTGTTACAATAGTATATGATACAATCAAGTGATATAAGAAAATTGATTCTTCAACACCTGTAAAACATTTGGACAGTCAAAAAGTTTTTCTAAACATGATAGTCGAGTATTACAATGCATTATTCGTGAAAACCGGTTTACTTCTCTTGGTGACATAACAAATCAGCTAAATACAAGATTTAATACTACACTTCATACTAATACAATTAGAAATCATCTTCATAATGAATGTTTTTATAGTTACGTTGCTTATAGAAAACCTCTTTTAAGCAAAAAACAAAAAAAAAACAGTTGGAATGGTATAAAGAAAAAATTAATTGAAATAAAGAATGAAATATGTGGTATAGTCAGATAAATCAAAATTTGCTCTTTTTGAATCAGATGGCCAGGTAAGAGTATGGAAAAAGTATGACAAAGTATATAAAGAAGGTTGTATTCAACCTACAGTAAAGTTTGGTAGAGAATTAATGATGTTTTAGGATTGCTTTGATTGGAATGGTGTTGGACCTTTAATTATAATAGATATAACTATGAATTCCGATATTTATATTAATGTTCTTGCTAATTTTTTGATACCATGGATTCGAAATTGACCCAACACTATATTTCAACAGGATGGAGCTCTATATCACACATCTTTGTATACTCTTTGATGATTGTCAACATATAGTATCCCACTTTTAAATTGAATGATGCAAAGCCTGGATCTAAATCCAATTGAGAACTTATGACATCATTTAGATCACCAAATACGAAAAAGAATTCCTTTCCCTAAATCAAAACAAGAATTGATAAAGGCCGTGCAAGATGAATGGCAAAAAATTAATATCAAAACATTACGCAATTTAATTTTAGGCTTGCCCAAAAGTATTAATGTGTTAATCAAAGCCAAAGGCGAACATACGAAATATTGATTTTTGAACCTTTAAAATTTTTAAATAGTAAACTGAAGCATTGGTATTTTGTTTTATTTATTTTTTTTTTTTGAGTTAATAAATATAAAAGAAATTTTAAATAATGACAAAAAAAAAAATTTTTTTTTATAAAATTACATAATGATGATCATTTTCAGTAATTTATTGTAGGGACTGTATATTTGGTATGGTTATCAAAGTAAATTATTTAAGTTTGTATCCGGAACTGTGCGAATATACTACACTACATTATTAAATTGCTGGTTTACATAAATGACATGCAAAAAAAGTATTCGCCATTCAATAATGACATTTTGTTACCAAACCATCAATGAACTTAAACCCCACTTAGTTCCTTTTATTGACACGCCATAATATCATATAAATAATCGAAGATACCATGATCATTAAAGTCATTGATGGAGAGTGATTGTACGCTGCAGAATTTTTGTTTCCAGAACTTGAATTGGAATTATTGAAAAGTTCCACGTAAGGTTTCAAATCCCCAAGGCATCTCGCTACGGTGGTGATGTTTAATCCGCGCACTTTTATCGCTTTATCTATAATATTTATGGCGGCATCAACCGTTTGAGGATAGAGATCGTGTTGGAGTACGATGAATCCGGTTGTCATTTTTGGAAAATTTTCCATCCATGAATTGAAAGTCTGTACAATAGCGTCAACGGATTTCTTGGGATCGGGTACCAACGACCAGTCTTGACTGTCAAATTCTGGAAGCCACAGAGTAGTGATTAAGCCAACGGCTTTTGAAATCGCACGAATTCTGTTATCGGTGTCACCATATGGAGGGCGGAAGTATATCGGCGTCATGTTTATGACATCGTGAATCGCCTAGGGTACACAATGTATCAATTGTTCAAAAAATTCAGATAACTTCTAAAATAATAATACCTTGATCGTCCATTTTAATTCGGCAACAACCGATTCGTTGGAAAGAGAGGTAAGCGCGGGATGAGACCATGTGTGTACTGCAATGTGATGACCTGCACCAATGGAGATCAATTAATCGTCGCATTGTTAACAACGACCAACACACCTAGCGATACCAACCACTTTCATAGGCAGCTTTGAGTGTTAGTGGATTTGAAACAACACGACTTCCGGTAACAAAAAATGTAGCCTTCAAATTTTTTTTGTTCAAGTAATCTAACAACTTGGGCGTAAATTTCGATGGACCATCATCATAGGTTAGGCCCCAATGTCCCACCTTTGGACAGGTGACGATGTCGTCGGGAGCGGCATGTTTTTGGCATGTCCAACTTCCTTGATCTGATTTCATGTAGGTTTCCGACTCACAGTTTGGTTGATCATAACTAACTTGACCACCGTTCGACATCGGAAGATTCGGAACCTTACTAAGGTCCAATTCTTTTACCCACTGTTTAACTACGGGATCATTAAGATCCGGAATTTTGTCTAGTGCCGGGTATATTAAATTCCTTCCATTGAATGTTATTGTAACACTTGGGGATGAATCTATTACTTGCGTGGGTGGCAATGATTGGGAACGTGCATGTCCACTAATATTCGAAAGAAAAACAAGAAGTATAAGAAGTTTTATCGTGATATATAATTGATACATTCACTAAATTAGATTAGTCCAAACAAAGAAACGATTTAAGTAGTGAAAATTATTGGCTGAAAAGGAAAGCGTAAAATCAAGAAAAGGTATATGAAACTTTATGATCACATAAATTATTATTTGTAAGGTATCCTTATAAATTACAAAGTAACCTTTAGACTGTGTTACAATTTATCAGAACCTTCTCAATAGGCAAAATTTCCATGATTGGCTACATTTAATTGAAAAAAATGACAGATAATTACGATCCACATATTTCCACCTTATTCACTATGGTGAATTCGAAGGAAAGCGAGACCTTGTGCTTTGGGTCACGTGACTATGCTGATTTTTTCGCGTTTTTAGAAAAGGTCGGGATACATATGTCATAGATTTACATGTAACTCACGCCACATTTCTATGACTTAAAAAAGTAAACTCCGTAATTTTGCATATATATATTCCGCCATTTAAACAGGAATTCCTAATTACGTTGCATTTTTGACTAGTGTTTTAAGGCAAAAAGAATGGAATTTTAATTTATCTGTGCGAGATAACTCTCCGTCAACGTGTGCAGGAAAATGTTACCAATCCAAATCGTTGGAGTATTTAGTGAAATTTCCAGTCCTTCAACCCGGTGCTCGTTTCATCCAAAAGTGCATTTGTGTAATAACAAATAGAATCGAAATTTCTATTTATCCTTTGTCATCTCTAAGCTGGAAAGGATCCGGTGTTATTTCAGCCCATAAACCTCGGGGTACATATTTTTTTTAAAATACCCTGATGCTGATGTAATGATTGTTTCACATAACGATTCATGTAATACTGATTACCGCCGTGTATGTAATGTGTAATGGCGATTTATATTTAATCCCAATAGCGAAGTTTAAAAAATGCATAAAATTACTCCATTGCTTCTTAAAACATCACAAAAAAAAAAAAAAAAAAAAAAATATAAATTTTTGAAAAATAAAAATTTCTGACTTTCAACATTCTATGTACTGTATACTTAATCTTATAGATGTTGTACATATACATATTTGAATAAAATATTATAAGGTCGCAGGTTTTTCTTGTTTTTTCTATACATGGATTTACATAGTCAAATTCAAGACCTTTTGGATTTCGCAAGTGATGTTACTTGTAAGTATGTTGGTTAGGTAATTTCGGTGGCTTTGTAGGTGTGATGGCTTTAATTTCTTCTTGTATGTTAGAGTCTCGAAAATCGTCTTCCCTTTTCATTACATTACACATTCTCTAATATTTACCAAATTTCTCGTTATAAACAACAGCACTGCTAAAGGAACAATCCCATAGGCTCATCTGCAAAAGAAATGTGGTGAAGGATGATGACGACGATGACTTGGAAAATCTATCTTATGATATTGCTTTAGCATCAAAATCATTGCATGGTAAGTTTATTTTTGATTTAATTTTACTGTCTTTTTGATAGACCATTGTAGACGGATACCAAATAAAGATGTCTTGAATGCAAATTGATAATGATGATTTTGATTCGTATTATATAGTTTTGGAATTACGCCGTGAGATTGGCTCAACCAGGGCGGAATTATCAGACTCAAAAGATTTGATCAATCGTTGTGGTGTCGAGAATGTTACCGACAATTGGATTGACTACATTCAAGATACAATGGAACACTTGTCAATACTTTTGAAAAAAGGAATTGAGGGTAAGAACGTTTTTTTTTGAAAATCAATTTAGCAAATTCATGCAATGTATACATTCATTGAACAATATAAGCTTATTTCATATTATAACATAGCATCATCAGATGACCCCGCCAAAGCAAAGCATGATAATTCAGGGAGTTACGATGAATATGAATATTTTGAGGAAGCAGCATCTCCGAAAGATTTTGTGTACTATAGCAATCGACTTTATAGGGATGATTCCTCTCCATCAGAGTCCTCGACAAATAGCAGCAGGCCTTCTAGCATTGTGATTCCTTCGGTAGATTCAGATATCACTTCTTATGACCTTCGGACAAGGTCAAATTTAACTCGACGCCATACGATGGATAACGAGGGTGTATCTGCTGCACGTTTTTTCATCGGTAATCTCGGACTTAAAAAGGCACCATCCAAAGCCTCAATAACCACCTTCATTTCACAAGAACAAACCAGCGCCAAGGCTTCTTTGCATGGCTCTGGGAATTTGCCGTTGTTAGCCGAACAATGTGAAGATAATGACCACCATTCTTCTCCCGCGGAAAGACAACTTTCCCAATTGATAGTCCAAGAGTCGACGGAAGAAGTAAGTGATGAATTTGCTGATGCGGTCGAGAAACAGGACGATTATCATATCCGTAAGCGTCTTGAAGAATTGAGTCTGAAGGATTTGAATAGTTTTAGTCAGGCTCCAATAAAAAAATCAAGCTCGTCATGCTCCCTACCAAATACTCTTTGTTCTGTGCCAGAAGACGATTCATCCACATTATGGGTATGTACGGAGGAAGATTACGAAGGTTTGGATTCAGCACCATCTTCGAATATTCAGATTAGCCTTCGTCGCTCGAAACCGACAAATTTGTTTGCGGAAGAAGTTAATGTCGGCAATCCGGTCCGAGTGGGTACAGGATATGGTTCGTACATTGCCTACACGTGTACGGTCAAGGGTCAAGAGGTATATTATCAAGTCCCAAATATCATTCGATAATTATTATTCAATAATGAATTGATTATTTATTAATTAATAATCTAGGGGGCAAATATTGTGGCGAGAAAACGGTATTCCGATTTTATTCGTTTAAGATCTCAACTAATCAAAGCTCAACCAAAATATAAAAAATTAATACCATGCTTACCACCGAAACGAGTTGTGGGAAAATTCATGCCAGAATTTATCGAACGAAGACGTAAGGACTTGGAATATTTTCTATCATACATCTTACTTCATCCGGTACTTGGTTCAACCATGGTGGTGAGGAGATGGTTCATGGATTAAGGAATCCACGAACACTACTTTGAGCGCTGCATCTGTCATAAATAACTGTAGATTTGATAAAATGTGTTTAATTTTATCCTTTGTCGGACAATTATATTGATACATAAATTTTCAAAGAAAAAAAAGAACATTAGTATTACTTTATAAAAAACTGTTTTTATATGATCTCTAATTAGTTTAGTTTGCTCTCCTGTATATAGTTTTACTTTAAATAATCAATTCTTTTACTTCTGTTTTTCCTATTTCATAATTAACATACGTTTACGGATATTTAAACAATTACCTCTTGCTTTCATTTTCCGATTCGATAATTTCCAAGCAATTCCGTAGAATTAATTGGTCTTAGTACAACAGATTAATAATACCTTAAATCTTAGATACAGTATTGTATTATTATTTTTTTTTTTATTCCTTCGTTAACCATTTACATACGCAGAAAAATATTCCTTTGTATGATTTCGATGTTAATATTCGGAAATAAACATTTTTTTTTTTTATTAGTATACTGTATACGTTACATGCAGTATATGCAGTATATACTGTACATATATTAAATAATATTACCGATTCATAATATATAAATAGTAAAACCAAGTATTTTTATATTTTATATTTTTAAAATAGAAAATAGATACACTTTAAAATTATTTAACATCGTTGTACAGTAGTACGAGAGATCTGATTGACTCGTTTTTTACCCCAATTCTTTTGATCATGCATACTTAATCCAATGGCCTCTTCTTCAACCAACGGAAATTTGTCTTCGAATAACGTGGAAGGTAATCACAGGCACCATTCCGAAACCTGCTCATATGACACTGATCAAGCCCGCGGTTTTGTTGCAAAAAAATGTGCAAAAGCCATACTGAACGAAGTTGAACCAGAATTTGACCCTGAGAAAAGTGAGGTTTTGGATTTCGCTTGCGGAATCGGTAAGGAATTTTCCTTTCCAAAAACAAGCTCGCAAATGTGAATTACTCATAAATTAATCGGATAGTTCGAATCTGTTAATAAAAAGGATTGATATCTCAAGAATTGTGTGCTCATGTAAAATCAATCTTGGGCGTGGACATATCAAAAGACGTGGTTGATGTTTATAATAAAAAAGTATGGCAACAAGGAATTGACAAAGAGGAAATGCAAGCCGTGTGTTTGGAACTGAAAGAATCTGAAGGTGATCAGTTGAATGGAAGAAGGTTTGATGCTGTTGTGGTAAAAAATCTATTCGTTTCTTTACTTGTTTTCTTTCGATTAACTTATCTGATACAAGATTTTTTTTTTTTTTTATTGATTAATGTTTACACCAAATATATGTAAAGTGTGCGTCATCTTATCATCACATAGGCGACATCAACTCTATAACCAAAATTCTATCCAGCTATCTTAAGCCGGGCGGTGAGTTAATCGTATTGGACTTAAAGAAGGATCCAGAAACGTCACATAAATTTCACGGAAAGCACGGATCTCATGATGTTGGCCATACGGTGACTCACAGTGGTGGTTTTGATCCTATAGAGTTGGAAAATGCTTTTAAGAATACCGGGATTATCGAAGACGTGAGCGTTAATGTGGCTTTTGAGTTTACGAAATGGGTTGAGGGAGAAGAGCGAGATTACGTTTTTGAGTACTTGATAGCAAAGGGAAGAAGAATTGCAGAGTAAGGTAATTTCTTTCTATAAAAGATTTTTTTATTAATTTGATGAAGTATTGAGATATCGTGACTTGGATTTTTCGCATTTTACATCATCAATCTTGCTATTTATTCATTTAAACTTACCACATTATTATTTTCGTTGTTATTGTTTTTTTTTATTTAAAAAGTAAACATTTAATATAATTTTTTTTTGTTATTTAAACACCGTAAATAATATATAAAGACTTTTATTAAGCGATTATGTTCATTATTATTTTATTTTTTGTATTTAAGAATAAAAAAGTATTATTACATCAAGAATTTATCGCCATAGATAATAGTTACTTTATTCTATTTGATATCAAAAAGCCTTTATAGTACATTGTATCAAAACAATGTTTGGGAATTAGGATTGAAAAAAAAAAAATAATAAGAGAATACCTCGGCAAGTATGTTTATTATTTTAAGTCACCCAACTATGTATCAATTATAAATCTACTTGAAATATATTTTTATACATATTATAATGATTCTAATATTTTTATTTGTAAATAATAAAAAATAACATTAGTAGTCTTCAAAATATTTGAGTAGCAATGAAAACATGCTAATAATATCCTTATTTTGGCAAAAACAAATCAATGCCCATGTTATTATTATTAATATTAACTTGGATTTTATATTTTTTCTCATTACATAAAAAAAAACATTTCAAAGAAAAACTTAATTGTCTAAAAAGTTTGTAAAATAAATTCTAATTTATATTTATATTTGTAATCTGATAAATAATAAGTTTGATATTATTAAAATTAAAAAAAAAAACAAGAGTTTGATCAAATTGTAATAATATGCAAATAAATCAATGTATTGTTTTTTTCAAATAAATAATTATTATTTATTGAATTATATTAAATTATAATAATATATCAAAGGTTTTATATTAATTAATATTATTATATAGCAAGCAAATTAATTTTATTTTAAATATTTAATTTTATAATTAAATAGATTATTTATTTCTTTTTTTTGAAGAAACAGATAGTTTCCATGTGTTATTTTTATTATAAATTTTAAACTTGCAAGTATAAGATTTACAAACTATGATATAATATTGTTAGCCTGGTAAAAGTCATGAGGTATAGTTACATACCATGATCATCACATCACATATCCTGAAAATGCAAAGCATCAGAATAATTAGCATAGAAAATATAGTCATAGAAGTTTAGATAACTTATCTAATAATCTATTTTCCTTTAATTGTTTTTAATATACTTCTTTCATATGTGAACAATATAAATAGTAATACCAATGTATAAGCGAAATAATAATAAAAGGAACAATAATAAAAACCATAATAATAAAGAAACAATTAGTGAAATTGAAACACCAAAAAAGGAATATTGTAATTAACAACTTATCTTTTCAAGTATATACCATTTAAGAAAGGATAATTGTTGCTATAGGAAATAACCTGGAGTTATCGAAAAAAGAGCTAATGCCAGGAAAGAAAAGAAAAACTTATTAATAAGAAGAAAACCTTGATTAAATCAATCTTACACGTCTCAACTTACTTTTTATAACTTTATTTTTGAACCAGTAAAGTGATTGACTTGTTATTTTTTGATTCAACAGTATATATCTTTTTTTGCTAAAAAGAGTTTAATACAAGACTTACAATTGTGATCCATTTATTTAAGCTTTTTAATATCATAATAAGTATAAGAAACACAAAAACTACAAAAAAACATTTCAAAGTAAAGATAGTTTGATATTATAAAATTTTTAAGAATTACAAGAGCCATAGTAAAATTAGCAAAAGAAAAAAATGATTATGAG